CACACAGTTCTCCCAATCACCATCAGCTGCCCCATTGTATTTTTCTGAATCTCACTGATGATCTGAAATCTCTTCCTTTTCAAAGGTGATTTTACTTTTGGAAAAAGCCTAAAGTCTCAGAGCACCAAATCTTGGCTCTGGGGGTAAGTCATTTGGGTGATTTGATGTTTCGCCAAAAATCTCTGCACAAGACATGATGCACAAGTGGGTACATTGTCCTGATGAAGCTGCCAATAACCAGTTGCCCATAGCTGCAGCCTTCTGAATCATCTGAATAGTTTCAAGCTTAATGCAAAATTTGATGCAGATCCATTGCTCTACTTGCTCAGTCATTTTGAATGTGACAGCCACACAGTACACAAGCTCACTCAATGTTGTCTACCACGTCCAGTGACTAATACAGTGAAGTCACCGTTGTTCACGTATGTGCATTCCAGTCCATTCTCCTTGGCTGCCAGGTTACATTGATGTTGTTCAAACCGTTCTCAGTGTATTAACGGTGACTAGACTTTTTCTGGACAGACCTCGGTATGCATATAAATATATATGTATGATACATAAATAAGTGAATTTATATTTTTTACTTTCCTGGATAAAAGGTAGCTTAGTATTCACAGTTATTTTGTTTTTTAACTTTGTCAGTATGTCCTCAAGATCACTTCATAGCAGTATGTAGATAATTGACTCTTACAGATGCATAGTGCTTCATTATAAGGATGTACATTAGTTCATTCAATTAGTCTTCCTGTTATAAGACTGCAATCAGCCTTTTGCTAGTTCTGCTAGCTTTATGCATGTATCTTTTCTATTTTGCCAGTTTATCTTTGGGATAAAGCCCTGAAAGTGGGCATGCTGGATCATAGATTTAATGAATATGTCATATTGCTAGGTAGTAAATTTTCCTCCATAGGATTTGTACCATTTTACATTTTCATAAATGGAAATGATTTCACATTCTGTGATTCAGGGACCCTTCAAAGTATAGAGATAAATTGGAAGTATGTGGGAAGGAAGAAAGTATAGTTGCCGATAAAATGTCAAAAGTTTTTTTTATTATTCCATTACAGTCGTCCCAGTTTTTCCTCTTTGCTCTCCCCTGCCCCCCCCACCCCTCTTATCCCCCCACCACACTCCCACAGTCAATCCCCACCCTGTTGTCCATGTCCATGGGTCATTTATACCTGTTTGTTGATTAGAACCTTCCTTTCTATCCCCTCTTATCCATCCCTGCCCCCACTGGTGCTGTCAGTCTGTTCCTTGTTTCCATGCCTCTGGTTCTATTTTGCTTATTTGTTTTGTTCATTGGGCTCCTCGTATAGGTGAGATTATATTGTATTTGTCTTTCACTGCCTGGTTTATTTCACTTAGCCTAATCCTCTCCAGTCCCATCTATGCTGTCGTGAAGGGTAAGGGCTCCTCCTTTCTTTCTGCTGCATAGTATTCCATTGTGTAAATGTACCATAGTTCTTTGATCTGCTCATTTACTGATGGACACTTAGGCTGTTCAAGCACTTGGCTGTTGTAAATAACGCTGCTATGAACATTTGGGTGCATAGATTCTTTTGATTTGGTGTTTCAGAATTCTTAGGGTATATAGTCCCTGGGTCAAAAGGCAGTTCTAGTTTTAGTTTTCTGAGGAAATTCCATACCGTTTTCCACAGTGGCTGCACCAGTCTGCATTCCCACCAATAGTGCACTAGGGTTCCCTTTTCTCCACATCCTCTCCAGCACTTGTTTGTTGATTTGGTTATGACTGCCATTCTGACCAGTGTGAGGTGATATCTCATTGTGGTTTTAATTTGCATCTTTCTGATGACTAGTGATGTTGAGCATCTTTCATGTGTCTGTGGGCCTCTGTGTGTCCCCCTTGGAGAAGTGCCTGTTCAGGTCCTTTCCCCCTTTTTAAAAATTGGATTGTTTGTCTTTGAGTTGTATGAGTTCTTTATATATTTTAGAGATCAAACCCTTTTCTGAGGTATAAGTGGCAAATATGTTTTTCCATATGGTTGGTTCACTTTTCATTTTGATGATGTTTTCTTTAGCTATGCAGAAGCTTTTTAATTTGATGAGGTCCCATTTGTTTAGACTTTCCTTTTTTTCCCTTGCCCTAGAGGATATATTGGTGAAAATATCGATGCGTGGGATGTCTGAAATTTTACTGCCTATGTTTTCCTCTAGGACTTACATGGTGTCATGGCTTATGTTTAATTCTTTTATCCATTTTGAATTAATTTTGGTGTATAGTGTAAGTTGGTGGTCCTAGTTTCATTGTTTTTGCATGTAGCTCTCCAGATCTCCCAACACCATTTGTTGAAGAGGCTATTTTTACCTCACTTTATATTCTTGCCCCCTTTGTCAAATACTAATTGACTGAAAAGACATGAGTTTACTGTATTTTGCCATGTATAATGTGTACTTTTTTGTTCAAATTTTTGAAGGAAAAATGAGGATTCACATTATATGTGGGTATAATGATCACATACCATGGGTATAATAATGGGTATAATAATCCTGTGTATAATGTATGCACAGTTATGGGTGTGCATTATATACAGCAAAATACAGTATTTCTGGGCTCCCTATTCTGTTCCATTGATCTGTGTGTCTGTTGTTATGCCAGCACCAGACTTTTGATTACAGTGGCCTTGTAATATAGTTTGATATCAGCATTGTGATTCCTCTACCTTGTTCTTTTTTCTCAAGATTGCTGAGGCTATTTGGGGTCATTTTTGGTTCCATATAAATTTTTGAAATATTTGTTCTCAATCTGTGAAGTATATCATTGATATTTTAATAGAGATTACGTTGAATCTGTACATTGCTTTGGGTAGTATGGACATTTTAATGATGTTAATTCTTCCAGTCCATGAACATGGTACATGCTTCCACTTATTTGTATCTTCCCTAATTTCTTTCTTCAGTGTTCTGTAGTTTTCTGAATGCAGATATTTTACCTCTTTGGTTAAGTTTATTCCTCAAAATTTAATAAAATCCTTATTTATTATCTTAAAGTGAATTCACTAGTAAACTATACCCAAGTGTAAATGGGTATAGTATAGATGCCTGCTTGGTATATGTTTGTGTGTGTGTGTATTATGAGTAAGGAATGAAAAATACTCTCTGATAAAAAATAATAAATTATAATTGAGTATTTAACACTATAAACTACTTGTTAATATGATTTTTCATTTGGCATAGTGAATATTTTGGATTAAAATATAAGGACTAGTTTTTTCTTGAGGACTGAAATTACTATTTGATACAATGAAAAGAACAATAATTAGATTTGAAATTTGGCATTTGTAGATGTAGTAGTTATAGTTTTGATTGCCTCTGTATATATTCTTGAAAGTCTATCACATGTAATCTGTAATTTTGAGATAATATGTAAATATTTAGTCAACTCTTTTTTCCAACTTTATAGCAGCGTTTGTTATTCTTTACTTGGCTTATTATTTCTTCTTTTTTTTTTTTAGGGTGAGGAGAAGGGAGGGAGAAAGAGAGGGAGAGAAACATCAGTGTGAGAAAGAAACATCCATTGGTTGCCTCTTGTACTTGCCCTGACCTGGGGCTGAACCTTGCAACCCAGGCATGTGCTCTGACCGAGAATCGAACCAGCTACCTTTTGGTTTGCAGGATGATGTCTGACTGAGCCACACTGGTCAGGACTTGGCTTATTCTTAACACTTTTTATTGAGGGTATGATAGTAAAAATTTGCAGCTTAGTGAGTTTTTGTAATATTTAATGAAGAGACATAGGCCATCATTGGTGCTTGTGTTGGTAATTTGGGGAAGCTTTCAGAAGGTATTATGATTATCCAGGTACTATTGCAGGAAGGAAAAAATTGGAAAGAGGTTAGCTTCAGATAATCGAAGACCTTCATTTTCAAGCTAATAAGTTTGGACCTTATTCTGTAGACAGTGGGAAATCAATAAAGGATTTATAAGACTTCTTTTAGATTCTTGAAGTGGAAAATTGAAGTGGTACATTTTTAGTTTTCATGAGAACTCTGTGATATAACTGTGTAGTCATGGGGAATATTTTTTGCTAATGGAGAAACTGAAGCATACGTGTTATCATTAGTGGCTGACTATGAAAACAAATGTTTGTTGAGGCCATACTACGTGCCAGATAAATAGCACACTGCCAAGTGTCTTATGTGGCTTGCCTCCCTTAATCCTTATAGCAACTTGGAGAAGGAAGGAAGTATTGTTATCCCCGTTCTCATCTCATCAGAGGAGAGATTTAAGGCTTAGAGGAGGGTAATACATTATCATGGTTTGGGTCCTAGGCCTATAAAGGACATTTTTGGGACAGTCAGTGAAATTTGATTGGAGCCCATTGTTTAAGTGGTAATATTGATCAACATTAACTTCCTGATTTTGATGATGGTTTTGTGGTTGTGAAGAGATTGCCCTTGTACTTAGGATATGTACACTGAGATATTAAGGGATACTGGGCAATATGTCTCAAACCTATTCTTAAATGGTTCCAAAATGTTAATAGTTTCATAATCTTTGTGAAAGGTTTGTAAGAGCTCTGTAGCTCTTATGCAAATTTGAAATTATTTCAAAAATACAAAACAAAAGAAAAAACACTGACTCATCCAAAGAAACATAATCGGCGTGAAGCAGAACAAAACAGATAGGTAGAGTCTATCTCCTAAATACATATATTCTACTGCCTCTTCTAAATCTAACCAGTGCCACATGAGAGCAGAATTAAAAGTATCAAGCAAACTTGCATTTATTCCTCATTGTTATTTGTGACTCACTTGAACAGTATTAGTATCACCCTCAAGTTAATTCCAAATCTGACTGTTTGCCTCTTGTATGTATACTCTGAGGTCACTTAAATGTAATTTTTTCTCATTGCTACCTCTTATTGTAAGCTTATACTTTATAAAAGACTGTTAAATACGTTTTATAGTTCCACATTATAATTTAACTTTAAATGGCACTGTCTCAAAATAATTACCTGCGTTTTGTTTTAACGATAGGTTATCTTATGATGAGGCTGTTGCTATGGCTAATGACCCCTTGGAAGGCTTCCATGAAGTAAACCTTGCTTCACCTACTTCTCCGGACCTTCTTGGCGTGTATGCATCTGTAGCCCACGAGCAGACCACCTCACCAGGTGTCATCTACCGGCCTCTCCCTTCGTCTTTGTGCTCTGCCCCTCTCCAGGCTAATGCCTTAGATGTCTCCGACCTTCCTACACAACCTGTATATTCATCCCCCAGACGTTTAAATTGTACGGAAATATCTGGTATCAGGTAGGAGATCATCAGTGTGCTGTTGTTTTCAACAAGTGGACAGTTTGTTCGGTTACCTTATTTTAAATTTTAATGTTTTAGAAGATTTAAATTATGTAGGCTTGTCCATGAGCAACAATACATGTTAATGCTCGACAGCAGGGGTCAGCAAACTTTTTATATAAAGGGCCAGATAGTAAATATTTTAGTCTTCGTGGTCTGTACAGTTTCTATTGCAACTATTTAGCTCTGCTGTTAAAGTGCAGAAGCAGTCATACACAGTGCTAAAGGAATAAGCTTCAATATACTTTATATGTGGATACTGAGTTTTAAATTTCATATAAAAAATGAAATTTTTCTCATGCCACAAAATATTATTTTGATTTTTCTCAACCATTTGGAAATGTATAAATAATTCTTGGCTTATGCGCCTTATAAAAATAGGCAGCAGGCTGGACTTAGCCTGTTGGGTTTGCCGACTCCTCTTCTAGAGCAGCACTATGCAGTAGAACTTTCTGTAATGATGGACGTGTTCTATTTCTGTGCTAATATGATAGCCTTTAGCCACCTGTGGCTATTAAGGACTTAAAACATGTTAGCTTTGACTGAAGACGTGCTATTCATTAAATATAGCGGCTGTCAAATTGCATAGACTTGTGTGTTTATGACCTGAGTGTTTCTAGAGCTGTGTTTATGCCAGTTATATTTGAGCATTTGCTGATGTTTGCTGAACTCTCCTTACAGCATCCATGTTACAGATCCAGCACCTAGTTCTACCTCTGGAGTAATAGCAGGGTTAACCAAACTAACTACGAGAAAGGACAACTGTAGTGCCGAGAGGGAGTTTCTGCAGGGTGCTACTGTGACAGATGCTTGTGATAGCAGTGATGATATTTTCGGGTTGAGTACCGATAGTCTGTCCCGTTTACGAAGCCCGTCTGTTTTGGAAGTCAGAGAAAAGGGCTATGAAAGATTAAAAGAAGAACTTGCAAAAGCCCAGAGGGTAAGCAAAAAGATATTTTATTCTTCCATACATTATATTTGAAATTAATGTTATTCCATGGAGTGAGTTAACCCGAATGAAATCATTATGGTTCTGCACTTACCCTGCACATGTGCCGGCTTCAGCTTCTGTTGGGCAGCATTTAAGAGTCTGTGAAACTGGTGAAGAAATAGAGAAGTTCATCTCAGAGTCCTAACTGGAAAATCAGATTCTGAAACTCTTTTTCTCTCCCCTACACAGCCTGCTCCCTGCCTTATGTTATCTGGATGCACAGTTGGTGGGTTTTGTTCCATGTATCAGTTTTTCCCTTCTTATGTGTGATTGGCTTTAAGGTCATTCACTCGAAGTCATTCAGTCTGAGTCATTTTGTCTTAAGGAATTATTTTAGTAATATAACCTTTGCCTTGTAGCTGGGTTTGAATATTTTCTGTGCCTTACCTTGGAGAATTTTCTTTTTCTGGTAATTTGTCTTACTTTCCACTTGGTTGTCTTCGAAGTTTCTGCTATGTATTCTCAAACTTGCAGCCATATATTATTCTTTTTCTGAGACTAATTAAATTTCAGAGGGAAATTTATAGCATTAAATATTCATAATTAGAAAAAAGGAAAAGTCTCCAATCAACAATCTAAGTTCTCACTTTAAGAATGAGAAAAATAGCAAAACCAGAGTAAGCAGAAGGAAGGAAATAATAAAAAGCAAAAAAAAAAAAATCAGTGAAATTGACAATAAAAAAACTAGACAAAATGAATGAAACAAAATGCTTGTTTTTTAAAAAGATCAGTGAAATTGACAAACCTCTAGCAAGATTGTCCAAAAAGTGACAGAAGACATAAGATTATATTCAATAGCAGGAATAAAATGGAATATCAGTATAGACCCTGCACATGTCAAAAATGCAGTACAGGAAAAATAAGAACAATTCTGTGTGAATTTGACAACTTAGATGAAATGGACAAATTTACATTTAGTACTTCAGAAGGTAGGACAGACATTTGTAAGTGTAATTTCCAGCATATTATGACATTTCAGAAACATGTATTTCCACCCCATCCCTACTCTGCTTGTCTATCAAAAGCATAATACTGATTTTTGTATCCCCAGCACCTGGTATAATATGGTGCAGTGAAATATGTTTCTTTGTAAATGCTGTAATGAATGGCTTATGGTTAAACACCCATGCAGATATGTTAAAACATTTTAGTTAAATGTATCTTATCAGAAAGAAATATTAATAGCCTTTTATGTCTTTTCCCCAAGAGAAGGGGTGTGCTGAGATGTGCTTGTATTTGTCTTCTGACGTCTGGCTCAGACTCTGCTGTCTGAATACACGGAGTCCAGTGAGATCACAGTTTATACAGAGATAGACTGTTGATCATATATAGTCATCTTTGAAAACACATTGTAGTTACTTACTGATTGGAACAGATTGCTAATTTCTTACCTGAAGTTGGTGATTTCTTTTGAAATCTTTAATTTGCTGTATTTAGGGGTATTGTTGAGGTAATTGAAATAATAGTGACATGTGAACACATATGAATGGTAGATTTTATTATGAAGAGTACAAGGTAGTGCAATGTTAATACTTACTCTCCTGAATTATGGCAATTTGTGAATCAAAATTAAGTCAACAGCCATTCTCCAGAGGCTGGATAGTTACCATTTTTCCATCCTTTCACTTCTAACCTGTTTTTGTCTTCCCATGTAGCTGTGGTTTCCAGTGCTCTTCACTCCTTCATGTAGAGCTAGATTTCCATCTTACATCATTTTGTTCCTGCTTGAAGGGCAACCTTTAACAGTTTTGTTCTGTGTGTTTGCAGGTGATAAATTATATTTAGCTGTTGTATATCCGAATAGGTCTTTTTTTCATCTCTTTTTAGAAAGGTATTTTCACTCTATAAGGAATTTTAGATCGATAGTCTTTTCTTTTAGTACTTTAAAGATATTGCTCTGATATCTTCCAGCTTGCGTTGTTTCTCACAAAAATCAGCTGTTACCTTTGTTCCTCTGCAGGCAATGTAAGATTCCTCTCTATCACTGGCTGTAAGCAATTTGATTATGATTTACTTTGGTTTCTTGTGCTTGGGACTTGGGCTTTTTGAATCCATAGGTTAATTTTCATAGAATTTGGAAACTTTTGGCTATTATTTCCTCAAAAGCTCTCACTTCTCTCCTTCAAGACTCCTTTTACATGAACATTGGACTGCTTAAAGTTGTCTCACAGCTAACTGAAACTATGCATTCTTTTAAATTTTTTTTTTCTTTCATTATGGAGAGTTTCTATGGCTATGCCACTGTTTTTCTTTTGCAATATCTACTCTGCTAATCCTTCTTGGCTGTATTTAACATGTAGTCTTCCCTCTGGCTTCTTAAACATATGAAATTTAGTTAAATAACTATTTTAATCCTTGACCAGTCACAGAGGTCCTTTTATTTTCTGCCATATCTGGAAGATTGCTGTTTTGTTGCTTGACATCCATTGCCTTAAACATGTTTGCTTCATATATTTTTCCAGGCTTTTCATTGTGTCAGGTGGGGTGGTGGTAAATGTGATCCCTGTTCTTCTGTATTGACTGGGAGTGAAAGTTTGTTTCTTTATTCTACCCCAGCACAGAGACACACGCACACACACACACCCTTCATTAATTTTGAGTTTCATAAGGATAAGGACTGCGTGTGTTTTTGCTCATGATTATATCTTGACTACGTAATGAATACATTTTATTGATTAAATGAATATATACATGTATATGTAGTTACATTGTTGTATAAATAGACACATGCATAATATGTTACAAACATACTAGCTGCTTGTAAGCAACCTAAATTTTAGTACTTAACCTAATAGAAGTTTATTTTTATTCTTTTAACACCCCAAAGCAGATGCTCCTGGTTGATAGAGAGTTCTTTGAGGATGAAATAATTTACATGTCTGTGTTTCTTCTGTCTTGGATCTTTGCGGTCTTTTAGAGTTTTATTTTTATCTGTACTTAACCAATGGAATGAAGGGAAAAGAAAACTTGGAGAAGGCATGCCTGTCTTTAAAAAGCCTTGACTCAGAAGTGATACACATAACCGTCAATCACATTGCTTTGGTGTGAACAGTTACTTGCTGCTACTTAGATGTGTGGTGGGCTAAGTCCCTGGCTGGGCCGCCACTTTCCAGCAACAAATCCGTACTGTGTGCAGGTGGAGCACCCACATGACCATTAACTTTCAGGTACGGGGGTGTCAGAGGTGATGATGTAGTCTTTCACCTGTAGCCTTCCATAGGTCATTGCTGCAGAACAGTTTTTGTTGGAATTCTGAGCCAGAAGTTTGCCTTTAGTATATCTTTATTAAAATGTAGTTTCTCAAATTCTGCTGAAACAAAATTACTGTGTTGAGGTTTGAGAATATGCATTTTCACTAAACTCTCCTGTTGATTCTTGTATTTCCTAAAGTGTGAGACCTACTGGTACAGAGAGTTACTTTTCATCTTTTAATTATTTTTTCCTAAAAGAGAATAAAATAACTTGGATAATAACCTCCAGCAGGATAGCTTGCAGCCAGAGAAAGTCACTCAAAAACACATACCTGTACCAAATTCACTTTGAGCACAGTTGTACTAACTGTGGCTAAGGATGTGTATAAACATTTACTGTGTTTGCTATAAACAAATATTACTTGAGTAACCAAAGTACTTAGGGCACTATGTGAGGCCCTGAGAGGGAAAAAATAAAATTTTTTTTGACCCTGTCCTTAAGGTGTCTGTAGGTGGAGAGAAAAGACATGTATACGTAGTAATGTTTCACTGACTCTGAGTTGTACGTTTTTTCCTATTTTAAGTTCTCTGAAATCAGTATGAGTTGTAAAATTGCTCTCAGCTGGGCAGCAGTCATGACAGTCGTCACTGCGTACTTGCTCATGAACTTGGTTGTAGCTGTTCATGTGTGATTAATTCAGTCGAGGTATGTGAGTTGGGCGCTGTATTTGTTGGACTTAATTACTTGGTTAAATGTCTTCAAAATGATGTTACTATGACGAAAAGAAAGGTACAAAAGAGAAGAATGATGTGATAAAAGTCTGTGTCTTCATCAGTTTAAAAGAGGTCTTCCTATAAGTGTAAAATGAAAATTCTAAATGAAAAAGAAGCATTTTATCATAGTTTCATTGACAACAGTTTTATTTCTTGATGTACGAAATGCTTATCTTAAAAATTATGTGTTAAATTTGATGAAATACACTTGATCAAGAGTCCTGACTCTCTGTGCTTTAAATATCTCTCAAATTTCTTTCCTCTGGTATTCCCACTCTAAAGCTGTATCTCTTGCCTAAAATATCTCACTGATCAACAGTTTGCCTTGTCTCCAGTCTTTTCTTTTTTAACCTAGACACACCTTCCAAGTTATCATTTGAATTGCAAATCTGATTGTCACTGTTCTACTTAAAATCTGTTAGTGACTCCCCATTGCCTTTGAGATAAATTCTCCTTGTCTTTCAAGTCTCAATTTCTTAGCCATGACTTTTCAGGGCTGGCCATAACCCTAACTCTCTGGCATTATCTTCTTACGGCATCCACTCCTCCCCACCTTTAGCTACTATAAAACTATACTGTTTTATTCTTTTCTTCACAATCCTGTACATTTCCTAGTATGTACATGTTACTACTATAGTCCTTACCAAATTGCCTTGTGAATCTGTTTAAAGATTTGCTACCCTTAATCGGCTGTGACTTCCTGAGAATCATGGACTGGGCCTCACTTTTTTGGTGAGTCTCCACCACTTAGATAAATGCCTGATGCTAACAGAAAAATTAACATCCAGTGAACACAAAATTAATGTTCATTGAAGGAATGAATTTTGAAAACTGTATTATAATAAAAGTACAAACTGAACTCCAAAAAATACTTCCACGAGCTACAAATTTGACTTCGTATAGGTACATTGAGTTGGAACTTGAAGCATAAAGAGAAGGTAGTCTGACATTTATGGGAAAAGGGTTAGCCCAGCTGGCTAGGAT